TCCCATATGTTTTTCCAGTATTGTTCAATTTCTGCTGTTGGTGGCTCTACTGTTACTGTGTGGTTGCACTGCAGCTGGGAGTACACCTTGGATGGTTCTTTGGAGAACAGGGCATTTATCTTCTTGGCCTTTGCTTCTCTAGTGTATCTCCTTAGCGTGGCAGTCAGAGCTGTGAGCCTTTGTTTAGCAGTCTGGAGGGCTTCAAATGGAGTCAGGCCCTTGTATTTTTCAGTAGCTGAGTCTTATCCTTAATCTCCACACCCTTCTGTAGTTTCTCCACTAGGTGACTAACTATCTCTCTCTCGCTTTCTCTCACACACACACACACACACTCACTCACTCACTCACTCACTCACTCGCAACAGCCCTGGAAACAGGCACTTGTATAGATCAATCCCCTGTTTATTATCATAAAAATATACCTTTTTGGAAGAGCAGAGATTATATCTTTAAATACTTTGTAGTATCACTACAGTCTAAAAAATGTGATGTTTACTTATTGGGACAAGCCACTTTGAAAATTTGGCACAGAAAAGGGCAGGAGATTATGGTTAACAACATTCACAGTTATTAGGCCCCATTCTGTGAGATATCTGTCTGATATACTGGGGAAAACTGATTGCATAAACAAGAATAGCTTGGTCAAATTGTAAAATTACGAAAGCATTTACAATGATTTCTAAAACTTTGCTCCAATATATAAGTTCTTAACCAAATTATTGTAGATTGTGGCTAGGACTAAATCTGGATGAAAAGTGTTGCAGCCAAGACAAAACATTTTGGTAATCCAAGGCCTTGTATATCACTACAGGTTCAGTATAATGAATGCCCTGTGATTAAATACTAATGCCAGATTTTTAAGATTCCTGAGTAATACTTTGCTTTCTTTAAATAATTGTATGTTCAGCCTGTCAAGTATTATAAGACACTGGAGTGTAACTAGACATACCTTGCCAGTTTTAGCAGCAACCAAACTGTTCTGCATTTTCATAGCTTCAATCACGCAAATTTCCTGACCTTCTGCAACCTGGTAAAAGCAATAGATGGCACTGATGTTAAAAAATAAAAATCAAAGAAAAAATACCATTAAGCTGTTTCATTCTTTCAGAAAATTAATAAAGACATTCATTAAAATAACTTTTTATATGCTTTTCACAGATTTTTCCTATCTAATCCCCAGGACCCACATCCTGATATTATCATAAAATGATGTATTGATTGAATAATGAGTAAAATATCCTTCAGATACTTAATTATTGATATTAGGACTGTATTCTGTTGCACCTGGAAGGGTGCTTGGGTTGAGGTAGGGATTACAGGATGCTACTTTTGAGAGTGAGATAGAGATCCTCTTGTGACCAACACTATCATGGCTCTTCCAGTGGTGGTAACAGTAAAAGGAGCTACTGGGTTATGATGGGATAAAATAGAGGAAGCTTTCTCTCCAGTGTACTTTAATTAACAAGAAACACCACTGGAAATGGGTAACCCACAGCAGCCTTGGACCTGGCAAACTAATCTGTCAGAGCCAATAACAGCAAAAAAAAACAAACCCCATCCAGAAGTGGTCCACATCTTGTTCCTTTATCTCTGTTCTGCCAAGAATGGGCCTGAGAAAGAAAGCCTGCTCGGTGGACTCTTTCCTTCCCCATCTCCCTTGGCCCTTTTGCTTCAACTGCCTTGTGGGAATGATCACTGAAGTTTGCTTGTTTATTTGTTCAATAACATTTATTTTTATTTAACGTTCTTTAACATCCTCGCAAGCCATTTTGCAAGGAACCAAGCCACCATTTCACAAAACCCAACAAATATAAATAAGCAATAAGCATAAACTTCACACAATAAGACAAATATAGATCCTGACCACAACCAAGGTTAGGTATGCATTCCACAGTGACATCGAAGCAATGGAAAGATGCATATTCTGGAGCTGATATACGTGAACTTCTGTTTATAAGCAAGAATAAGAGCAAACTCCCTAATTCATTCACTTCTTATTCCCAGCAAAGTCCAGAGCAGTGCATGGGAAAAAATCAAAATTAAAAACCCTCTAGAATCAGAGCACAGTAAGAATAAAAATAAAGCAATTCATGTAACAGACATTTATCAAAACTAAAATATACCAATGCAACATTTAATTAAAAATCAGTTTAGTCACGGTGCAGTTGTTGCCCTACAAATGCTTGGGAAAACAAACATACATT